CCGATGCCGGAACCGCGCGCCGGGAAAAATTGGAAATATTCCTCGGTGTAAGTTCCGCGGTGTATCCCCATCCGCGATCGTTTCCATTACCGCGGCGGAAGGTGGAAGGGGGACAAAGAAAAAAAAAGGAAGAAAAGAAGAAAAAAAAAAAAACGGGGAAAAATGGGAGGAAAAAAAAAGGAGAGAAACGAAGTGAAAAAAGGCACGGAACGGCACGCAGTGGGGAACATTTATTCCAAGAGAGGAGGATCGGTAGACCGAGCAAAAAGGAAGAAAGACGAGGCCGGTAAAAAATCTCGCCCTTCGGCTTTTATGGAGCTTAATTCGCCGCCATTAAGTTTTAATTGGCCGCGTTTAATCGATCCACCGTTTTAATGTCCCTTGTAACCGCCCCGAATATATACGGCTTCGCGGTAACCATAAACCCATATATCGCGCGAGTAACAATCGCGGGTATCAATTTGCCTTGCTATAAAACCATGCGTACATCTACGTACGCGCACACGTATGCACGCGCGGTACCACGGCAGCCAGGATTTTTCGACCTTCGCCGTTCGCTCGAAATACCTTTCATCCCCCGGGGGAGAGCAGCGTCCAACGTGCCACGAGAGACGAAACGTGGAAACGTTGGAGAATCGCGACGCGATCGACTATGTGACCGCGAAAGGCAAAATACCCCAGACGCCGGCGTAGCTGGTGGACGGGTGGTAGACACGCGCGCGTTTCGGAGCATCCAGCGACCCGTGGCCGCGTTTCTAACGGCTCGATGAAGCGAAGCAGGAATAACGGGCGCGAGGGTGGCGCGCAGAGGCGATTTCTAACGCGAGGAGCTCGCTAGACAGCGCGGGATCCGGGACGAATCGCGGAGAAGCACGGGCCATAGCGAGAAGCAGGCAGAGAGAAACGAGAGCGCGGGATAAAGAGGAGAGAGAGAGAGAGACGCCTAGACGTGGAAACAGAGGCACGATCTCTCGCCTCCGTAAGCGCTTCTGTCAACTGTATGTTCGCCGCTGGCTCCGCGGTGCATCCGCATTGCTCACGCGCTGCAGGGCCCCTTCATACCTCGAGTTGCAGCCACGACGCGCGACCGTGTGTTCGCGGTACATGCCGTTTGTCACCATTCAAGACGCTCACGCCGAATGC